ACCTGGGGAAACAACCTTTCTCGGAGAGGTGACCTTGGTTAAAACACATAGTGCCAAGAAGGTGAGCGAACATACCAAGAACAGTATGCCATATATGCCAGGTCCCTTGAAACAGCAAGGATGAACCGGCTCCCGGCACATTATTCGGGTGTTTCATCTGAAAGCATAAACCTGCAGGAACAAGGGAACTCGTATGTGTTTAGTATTTGGGATGCGAGTGAAGAAAGAATTTACCCTCTTACTCATCCCCAGTTCTCAGTAAGAGACTTGCACTTATATCTAATGTTGAAAGGTTGAAATATTTTACTTTGGGAGGACCTTGATTTTTTACGTAACCTGATTCTTGAGTTAGGGTTATTTGTATTTTAACTCATTTTACTTTGACAAAAGAAAGCTTTCTCTAAGAAAAGTTAGGGTTCACGCTCCCCTTGTTAATGAACTTTGCACTTCCCGGGTGTAAGGTGAGTGGACTGTTGTGTCTCCTGTGCAGTGTCTGTGCTTCACCGATGGGAGGACCGTGGCTCCCATGCCCCCTGCGCAGGACCACAAGCGGCTGCTGGAGGGAGATCGCGGCCCCAACACAGGCGGGATGGGGGCCTACTGCCCAGCCCCCCAGGTACATCTTGGCTCCGCAGAGGGTCAGTGGGGATGGCCGGTCTTCTCAAAGGGCTTTGAGAGGCGCTCTGCTGGTTGTGGTAATTTTTAACTCTCAGAGGACAGATTTCCTATTTCATAAGAATAAAGCTAGATGCCGATTTGATAGGGCCTGTGGGAGGATTTTAAAGGTTTGTGGATTTAAAGTGATCACTTTCTTTGTCCCCGTTCAATGTCCCATGTGGTATGGCCCACAAGATGCCTTTTTAAATATCAGTCACATTGTCATGCTTGCTTGTCCCCAGGTCTCTAAGGATTTGCTGCTGAAGATTAAAAACGCCATCCTCCAGCGGACAGTGGACGGCATGCAGCAGGAGGGCACGCCGTACACAGGTGCGCGCTGTGCGCTGTGGGCGCTCAGGGCTCCCAGCTTCGCCGGGCCTCCCGTTTCCTTCTCCACGCCTCCCGTTGGCCCTGTCGGAACGGCTGTTACGGCTCTCCTGCGCCTTTGAGTGTTAGGAGGTTACGTTCTCAGTGTCGGGCACAGGAGAGCCTTCACTACAGCTTTCCCCTTGGCATGCAGGTGTTCTCTATGCGGGTGTGATGCTCACCAGGGATGGCCCGAAGGTTCTGGAGTTTAACTGCCGTTTCGGGGACCCGGAGTGCCAGGTGGGTAATCATTTTAGCTAATACCAAGCATTGCTTTCTACAAGATGTGAGTTGTTTTAATCCCAGGACTTATGAGCCTGAGATAATGACCTTTGAGAAATAGACACAGAACAACACGGGTTTGAACTGTGTGAATCCACTTATATGCAGATTTAAAAAATCAACACATAGTCAGCCCTCCCTGTCCCTGGGTTTTGAATGTGTAGATTCAACCAACCTCAGGTCCAAACAGCACCTTCAGCGCGTGGTTGCGGGTCCGCGCATGTGGAAGCCTGGCTGTGTGCGTCGATCTTCGCCGTCTCATCTAAAGGACTTGAGCGGCCACAGATTGTTTAGTCTGCGGCGGGACCCTGGGTCCAATATCCTGTGGGTACAAGGGGCGACTGTAAGGGTTTGAGGCGTCATAAACTGTATGCGGATTTTTGAGGCGGGGTTGGGGCCCCTCGCCCCGCGTTCGTGGGCCAGCTGGGTGTGCGGGTTTGCGAGAAGCCAGTGAGCAGCGTGTCTGAGACTAAACTCCTCCCGTTGCCGTGCGGACTGTTTCCCAGGTGATCCTCCCGCTCCTGAAAAGCGATCTCTATGAGGTGATTCAGTCCGCCCTGGACGGCCTGCTCTGTGCAGCTCCGCCTGTTTGGCTTGAAAACCGGGCGGCCATCACTGTCGTCATGGCAAGTCAGGGCTATCCCGGAGACTACGCCAAGGGTGTGGAGGTGGCAGGTGAGCGCTGGAGGGCGGAGGCTGGGCACTGCCGCAGCGGGCTCCCTCCCGAGCGGTGCGGCTCTGCTGTGTTATTTGTATTTCCTCTGTTCTTAAGGGGGTGGGCCATCAGAAGCCTTTCAGGGTCTCTTCTCATAAGCGTGTTGCTTGTTGGATGTGGGCGTTCGAATATCCAGGATTACTGTGTTTGAAGACCATCCATCTCCCCTTCTGGGCAGGAAAGGCAGATGGGCCTGGCCACGCAACAGGAGATGATGGGGCTCGGAGGGTGAGGAGAACGGTAGTGTGACTGCACCGATGAGTCAGTGTCACACATACGGTCGTGGAATGACCATAAGGGGCCCCATTTGCACTGCACTCGAGTCTCCTGTGGCAGGTTCCAGCGCCGTCAGAAGGAGGTGTTTTCCTTGCAGTGATCCTGGTGGTCATTTTAAAAAGCAAGCGAGCGAGCCCCTTTCCCTGGGTAGCTGTGACAGGAGAAGTTCCGTTACTTTTAAGTAAGAGATGTGGTCAAGAACAGGCCGTTCTTGGGAAACGTGTGTTTACTGTTATGTTGCATTAATGCCTTCCTGGTGGGAATCTGGTGAGGATTCATTAACGTGAAATAAAGATTCTACTTTGAAGAAAACTGTGGAAATGACAGACGAGCTCCCCAGTGTAGAATGTTTTCACTGCAGCTACTGAGCCGAATGTGCTGTCCTACAGGCGTTGCCGAGGCCCAGGCTTTAGGGCTGGAGGTGTTCCAGGCAGGCACAGCCCTGAAAGACGGCAAAGTGGTGACCAGTGGAGGGCGAGTCCTCACGGTGACCGCCATCCGGGACACGCTCATCGCAGCCCTCGAAGGGGCCAAGCAAGGACTGGCTGCCATCAAGTTTGAGGGCGCCGTCTACAGGAAGGACATTGGCAGCCGTGCCATAGCGTTCCTCCAGCAGCCCAGGTAAATGTCCTGCCGGGGGACGGCAGCTCACACGGGCAGGCAGGCTGGAGACGGTCCCACTAACCCTGTGCCAGTCATCCCTGCTCTTTTCTCCCCATGGGACTAACCAGATTTGGATTTGCATTTAGTTTGAATCAAAATCATTTACAACTCTAGTCAAATGAAATGGAGAAAATTTCCTGGGAGTTCCCTCTGAAAAGTTCTGTAAAACAACAGTGATGTTAAGGATTTTTTCACATTGTCCACTTTAAATATATGCAGTCATTTGTTACTCATCAGTAAAGCTAGGGAAAAGATTTTTATTCCGTGAGTTATCATATATTTAAATGTGGCTGCTTATCATAATTCCTGGTTTTGTCAAGGAATTCAAGATGAAACTATTCGTCATCCATTTTTATGAATTAATTTGGTGAAACTATACACTTGGGCAGTCTTCTTTGTCACTGCATTTACATTTATCACTGAAATGGATTTTTACCTTTATTGATTCATTTATTGATATGTATAGCTATTCCTTTGTGAAAATCAAACTTTTCATCATAAGTGTGGGTGTTTTGCTTTCTTAACTGTATATCAGAGTTACTGTTCTTATTGAGTTCAACTAGAAAAATAAATAAGTTCTAGGACAAAATAAATTTTTAAAAATTTAATTCAAACTATACTGCTACTTGTAGGCAAGGTTTTTTATAGTTTAAATATTAGCTTTTTAAAAGTAAATAACATTAAAATACCACAATAAAAATTCATTCTTTATTTTAAAATGAGTAGATAATTCTCATTGGAATGAACTATTTCAAGGGACTGCAATTCTTTTTTTTTTTAAATGGACTTTTTAAAAATATGTTTTTATTGATTTCAGAGAGAGAAAAGGAGAGGGAGAGCTAGTTCGAGCCCACAGCCCAGGCATGTGCCCTGACCGGGAATCGAACCAAGGCCTGGTTCATGGGTTGACGCTCAACCACTGAGCCACAGTGGCTGGGCAGGGACTTCAATCTGAAGATGAAGATTTTTTAAACCAATGGAACCAAATATATTCTTCCTGTTGCACCTTTTTCAAAGCCTCACCTATTTCTTCACGTGTCCCTGCATCCCACGAGGCCCGCACGCTCGTTTTTGTAAGGCAAGGCGCGGCTACTGAACCCCAGTGCAAGTCACGCTTGGCTTCCACATGCACCGCTCCACCACGTGTGCCTGATACAGAAGGAGGTGCACCGAATACCGTTATCTCGTGCTGTCTCCATGGTTTTTCTCATGTTTCCCAACTGTCTTCAGCCATCAGGAAACTTACATTACTAAGTAATTAAATAGTTATTAATTACTTATTGCAGTGAGAGCTGTTTCATTGAGGGATTTCTTTGTCCGGTTCTTAGAATGTTAATGTTACTCTTTGGACTTCGTTTTGATTCTCCTTTCCTTCCCGCACCAACACTGAACAGAAAGGCTGTGGTGCAATGTCGGCATCTACCCCTGTGCGAGGAGCTGATGGAGGAAATAAGTTACAGCAGTCCTCCCCTGGGGCCGTTCACAGGTTACGCTTCCCATCATTTCCCCTGACTTTTAGGTCATGGCCTAGGTTTTGTTTTTTTAATTCTTTAGGGGCCTGACGTACAAGGACTCTGGGGTAGACATTGCAGCTGGAAATCTGCTGGTCAAGAAAATTAAGCCTTTAGCCAAAGCCACCTCCAGACCAGGTGAGTCCGATCCGGGCCTTGATTAGTTCATTTGCTTGGACAAACGCTCTGGAGTGTTTGGGGCTTGTAGTTTTCAAAGGATAATGTTCAAAATCGATGCCCGGTTCTGTGAGTGTTGCCCTGGAAGCCAGACAGACCCATAGTTTTCTGGTTTTCTCTGTTATTGCCCTAGTCAGTTCTGCTCAGTGGATGGAGCGTCGGCCTGGGGACTAAAGAGTCCCAGGTTCGATCCCCGGCCCTGGTCAGGGGATGTGCAGGAGGCAACCAGTCAATGTGTGTCTCTCACATCGATATTTCTTTATCTGACTCGCCCCCTCCCTTCCAATCTTTCTGAAAAATCAGTGGAAAAATATTCTCTGGTGAGGATTAACAACAAAAAAAGAAAACCCATTTCTTATTTATGGTGTTAAACTCAATGAGATATGTCTGTCCCTTTAATATTTAATTCTCGATTGGGCTTTCAGCACATGATACTCTTGCGTTCTCTGAACAGGCATGGAGAAGCGTTATGTGTTCTCGCGTTCACCTGATCTGTAGAAATGCATTGACTAAGTGGATTTCCTCCCCAACAGGCTGTGATGTGGATCTCGGAGGTTTTGCTGGTCTTTTTGATTTGAAAGCAGCGGGTTTCAAAGACCCTCTCCTGGTCAGTGGAACAGATGGCGTTGGCACGAAACTGAAGGTAATCAGACACTTTTGTGAATAAAGGCCTCATGGGGAACACAGAGAATTTACGTACTTTTCCCCTTTTGACATACAAGCACTAAGAGCAGCCATCCAATAACCATATAATAGGACTAAAATATCGACATGTTTCATAACACAATGTTGAGGCTCTATCTGGATGGAAGGGTTATTTTAGGGGACCAAAGGGGGTACTTTGGACCAAGTCACATCAGAATGTAGTGTTCTTTGTCTTTATTGCTCAGAGCAGCTGGCCAGAAGTTGAGACCATTTGTGCCTCCGCTGCTAAATTGACAAGTTATAATCTGGAGCTTCACGTCCCATGGATGTTTCTGCTGTTCCGTAGATTGCCCAGCAGTGCCACCAACACGGTACCATTGGCCAAGACTTGGTTGCCATGTGTGTGAACGATATCCTGGCACAAGGGGCAGAGCCCCTCTTCTTCCTCGACTATTTTTCCTGTGGGAAACTTGACGTTGGCACAGCTGCAGCGGTTGTTGCTGGCATCGCCGAAGCGTGCAGGACAGCTGGGTGTGCCCTCCTCGGTATGAGCCCCCTTGTGGCGTGTCCTCCGCTGTGTTTTGGCCCCATGTGTAAGCGGGGTCGGTACCAATACAGCGAACGAGAGAAGACCACAATCACACGATGAGGCCAAAAAGGTAGAAACCACGCTGCCCTGAGAGAGCGTGGCCCTGGTGTCCCGAAGCCTCCCCGGGTGGTTCCTGGGCTCATATTCCTGTGCCAGCCAGGCCTCGCCTGTCTCCCTGGTCTTTGGCACCTTTGCATCCCATCTTTCTCAGTGGCCTCGCGGACAGACAGGGTGGGTCATTCCCTCTGGACTGGCCCTGCAGCACAGGCAGGTGGGTTCTGGGCATGCTAAGTCTTAACTTTTCCCACAGGAGAAAAACAAAATAAAAAGTGCCCAAGGTTTATAGAAACACTAGTGGCCCGGTGCACGGATTTGTGCACATTGAAAGGAAATTAATTAGAAGAAATATTTTAATACCGCTATTCGCCCTTTCTCTATAATAGAAGTGTCAACCAAATTCACAATCGACAATGACAGATGGAAACACACATGTAATTGGCACCAGCAAGAGCTTTATATGTATTGCACATGTGCAAGTTAACGTAGCCTTTTATAGATAGAGAATAAACTTGCTTAATTAGACCTGCTTTCTGATGTAGCTAAACTTTTCCCAGCCCAGTGAAGCACCCCAGCTTCTCTTTCAGGTAATTGTCAGCAGCACAGCAGTAAATATCAACATGAAGCAGATGATTATTGCAGATCACGCAGGGAGAACAAAGGGTAAAATGTTTAACTGCAGCCATGTTTGACTATGTTCTGCGCAGTGAGAAAACCTGAAGTCATTGTCAAGGTCCATTTCTTCTTTTCGGTTGGGTCAAGTTTCTAAACTTAC